GCTGAGCGTGATCAAGGATGCATTCTACCATTGAATTTTATGATTTCATGCTTGTTTTTGGATGATTCTTTGAAGACGACAAGCTTAAAAGTCAGGTCCTGTCACATTTTTTTATAAGTGAAAATGTACGTTTCTTGTAGAATGTCCCATTAAAACAGCTTGACAAAATAGCATGCAGTTTCACTCAAGAGCATCTACTACAATTTCTTTACACATTTTAATGAGAAGTCACTAGTAGAAAATCAAGAACCACCTTACTGGTTTTCACAATTTAAAACGGCCTACCACAGAGGGTTTACAAGCAGATTTAATGACATTAACTCCCGTCACCTTTCCCAGAAAAAGCACAAACATTCCCTAAATATATATTTGTTTTGACTCCATCAGCTGAATCAGTAATGACCATATGCAGCTGAGCAGAGTGTTGGATTACCATCAGTAAACAATTTACCACATCTGTTTGACATAATCCTCCGGTCAACAGCATTCTCGGCAGCTAAGAAAAATAAAATCCTTTTTTTAGTCTGGCTAAATGCACATCCATATCATGCAGTCTACACGACGATGTCAAAACATTTAAACTACAATAGTAAATTAAGCATCTCTACAATAGCATGAAAAATGTGGCAGATTTATGCATTTACAGCCTTGAGTAACAGTTTGATGAAGGGGTTGTGCAACATTTAATGTGTTCAGTAGTGCATGACATTTCTCTTGCAGCGTTCGACAGTAATTTTTCATTAATTCTTTGGTGGTGACACTAAGAGGGGTTTTACTTTGCTAATTAATCTAATTAGCAAACCCCTCAGAATAACAAAAGCAGGAGATGTGAAAGGAAAAGGCAGAGGTCTAGCAAACAAATGTAAGCCTTATTTTCAGAAATACAGATTTACTTCGACCTGCTCGTTCACACGTTCTGAGAACCGTGACCTACTTCTAACAGCTAGACCAAAATTACCCATGAAGCACCAGTGAAAAATGCTTTAAGGAGAATTGTGTTATCCTGGTTTATGTGAGCGAGAGGCAATCGCTCGTGTATGTGTGTGTGTGTGTGTGTGTGTGTGTGTGTGTGTGTTTGTTCTACAAAAACCTCTCCAAAAAGCTCACTTGACATGTTCATGTTTTCAACTGCGTTTAAAAAAAAATGCAGGAAGATTTAGTTAAAATGCACAGGCTTGGGGAAAATATGGCATTTTAGCTTTTACATTTAATTAATGTTTAAGATGCATTATTATGAAAAGAGAAATTTGTCCATAAATTAGACATGACAACCTATGATCATATAATTTGAAAAAAAAAAAAAAGACTCTCTATTAACTGATCTATATAAAGAAATTTGTGTGAACAGGTTTAAATGTGATCACTATTACTGTTTGACTCCAAAGGTATGTAGAAAACCACTATAAAGACATCATATTATTGATTTGTACATATAGATTATTTATCTGAATAATTTTTATAATTGATATTGTCTAACTGCAAATAGATAATACTATAAAAGTTTCTCCAGCCTTGATTCCGCAGCTCTGCACAGTTTTGCTCCAACCCTGATCAAACACAGCTGATGCAATTAACAAAGTGTTAAGTGTCAATCGAGACTCTTTTGAACTCCTTGATTTTTTGGATCAGCAGTGTTTAATAGGGTTGGAGAAAGACTGTGCAAAGTTGGGCCCTCCAGGAATCCAGTTTGAGACCTATGCCATAAAGTTTTTTTTCTCTGTGGTAATTTTATTTTTAATTATTTTAAATTTAACATGTTTGTTAATTTAGGTAGCAAGGGTTATGGAAAAAAAACACCTTGATTGTACAAAAGGTTTTGTTAAAAACAGGGAAAAAAAAACTACTAATAAAATATTTTTAAAGTCGCAGTATTAAAATATTTTTTTTAAACAATGGTTTCCAAAAACATTGCAAAATTACTGTAACATCAAACGCATTTAGACTATCATAGATATTATTTAAAAGGAGTATGTGAAAATCAAGATTCAGGAAATTATTTAGCTGGCTTCAATTCAGGAGACTTTTGCACATGTTACATCCCTGATGTTATGCCTTTAGGAGCGAGAGCATCAGTGAAAAGTTTATAGTTGGCTAGGGGGAGTGTGGATAAGTCTTCTGCCTTTGCGACAAGCCAATTTTAGTTTAAGAATTTAAAGGAAAAAAAGGAAAGAAAAAAAAAGTATGAGGGAAAAAAAGACTTGGAAGTTAAAAAAAAAAAAAAAAAAAAAAGGGCTTCATAAGGGTGAAAAGGCCAAAAAAAAAACACTCTAGCTAGTTAGGGAGTAAAAGTGTCTAAAGCAGGGCTGTCCAAACTCAGTCCTGGAGGACCAGTGTCCTGCAAAGTTTAGTTCCAAACCCAATCAGACACACCTGGGCTAGCTAATCAAGCTCTTATTAGGCTTTCAAGAAACATTCTTGCAGGTGTGAGGGAAGTTTGAGCTAAAATCTGCAGCACAGACCCTCTAGAGCCAAGTTTGGACACACCAGCTCTGACAAAGTAAAAATTTTATTAACAACAGAAATGTAACTCCCGAACTAAACATAAACAAGTGAAAGAGGGTTTTAGAAATTAAATGGCACCCACCTCCCTACAGCTTCCAAACACGAAGTTAAGTTTTAATGGCAGATTGTAAGTGGTTTTTAAATGCTTTACAACAGATTTTGACTTCAATAAATTAACCACAACACACTTCCATAACCTAAGTAGGCAGGACAGAGACCACACTCTGAAGGCAAGCTTTAATGTGGCTTGCAACTGATCAGCTTTTAAGCTTGCAGGACAACGAGCAGCAGGTGCAATTAATCAACTTGGATAGATGGATGGATGGATGGATGTTCTCCGTTTTCAACTTTATTTTAGTCAGCATTTCAGTACTTTGGTTGCCTGCCATTTTTTTTTCAAATATTTTTTGTGTAGTTTTTGTTTTTATTTGATCTTTTATTTTGGTTTTAGTTATTTTAGGTTTAACAAAAATAAACGTTTAACTTAGTTAATGATTATTTTCAGGTAACAAAAATATAGTCAATTATTTATATGTAGTTAAAAACCAACAGTTGCGTAAAAAGAAAATCTAAGTAATCTATAGATAGAATGATAGATGGCTAGCTAGCAAGACAGACAGATAGATGATTCTTACATGGATACATACACACAGACTACAAAACATGTCCCAGGCCATTTCATGACTTGTTACTTTGTTTTAGTCCACGTGGGGGAGCTGTGATCTCATGGTAGATCCATTAGGGCAGGGTTGCCCAATCTTGTTCCCAGAGCTCTAACTTCCTGCAGAATTTAGCTCCAATCCTGATCAAACACAACCAACCAACACTTTACCAACAAAGCAGGAACTGAAGGTGCGCTTGGTAATAGCAGACAGGTGTGTTTGATAAAGGTTGCAGCTGAACTCTGCAGGATGGCAGATTTCCAGGAAGTGGATTGGGCACCCCTTAATTAAAGGATCTAGACCAGCGTTTCCCAACTCTGTTCCCACAGGCACACCAACATTACACATTTTAAATCTCTTCCTTATCAAACACCTGAATCAACTCATTGGAGAGATTCCAAAACCTGAAATGAATGGGTCAGATAAGGGAGACATCCAAAATATGTACTGTTGGTGTGCCTCCAGGAACAGTGTTGGAAAACCCTGATCTTCTAGACCACAATAGAATTGTTTAAGATATACATCAAACTATTATTTTAATAATGTAACACCAATTTAAAAACAAAGAAATGTGACTGAATAAATATAACAAATTATTACTAAACTTTATACATATTGAATAGATTCATTGGATAAGCCCAGGTTTTGCAAAATTTGTTTTCTTCTGGGCCCCGTTTCAGAGAGGAGGTTAAGTGAAAACAGAGCGTGTTAACCATGAAATGAGAGAAGCTCTGGGTTTTACGTTTTTAAAAGAGAGGTAACTTTGACTCGGAGTCAGTTACCGTGGAAACTTACTGTAAACCAAACTTGGTCTGGAGCAGGTTTTATTCTCTAAACTGAGTTTCTGTTGGTATCCTTCCTTTACTTAAAGACAAAGCATCATTTCTCACCCTAGCCTTAGTCATTCATTGCCTACATTTCAGTCACACAAAGAACAAAGCAACAAAAAGGCTTGCTCCTTTTTTTGGGGAAAATTACAGTTAGCTTCAATACCAGTTTTAAGTTTTACCTTTGATATTACTGCAAAAAAAAAATTATTAGCTTAAATTCCCTGACCTTCGACAGAGACGTGTACTGTAACTAGATTAATGGGATCTTTCTATTTTAATACTGCTTACATTCTAAATGTCATATCAACCTCCACCACTTAACAAAAGGCAGACACACACACACGTGCACTTTTACATCTTTTAAAAACTCAGTTTTAGAAATTTTATCTTAAACTGATCAACGTGTGTAAAAGTGGGAACCTTAAAACATTCCCACTAAACATTAGGTTGCAGTTATATGCATTCTTGCATTGTCAGAATTGTTGTAGAAACTATACAGTAGCCTATGTTATGTAATTTAATTACATCTGAAATAACTTTGTAAAAAAAAAAGTCTTAACGTCACACATTACATTACATTTTTTTATTATACTTAAATACTTATAGTTTAAATATAAACTTGCACATTAACTTAAGCAGCTATAGTCTCACTGATGCAGTGGTGTTGCTTTTTTAATATATGGTCATATTTGCTAAAACTTTGCATGAGCACATCAAGTTCAGCTGGAGGAAAAAAAAAGCTAATCTATTTTTTTTCTCATAATATTTGCGCTCTATTGATAATGCCTTTTTATAGTCACTGTGTGCACGCTTGACTCTGAATAATCAGACTTGTTTGACCTCTGAGTTTTTAATCTCTCATTAAGTCAACTCAGAGTTCAAGTTTAAACTCCCGAGTTAGTTGAACCTCCTTACTGAAACAGGCCCCTGGACAGAAATTGAAAATAGCCAGTGAAGTAAAAGTGAATTAAAACCCAAAAAAACTAAATACATAAAACAACCAACATAAGTGAATAAAGCATTTATTTATTTCATCATAAATATTTAAAAATGGTATGTTAACAATGAATTTCATTTTACAAAACAATTGCAAGATCCTGTCTGGGACAAAACAGCCCAAGACATTCATAATGGAATGATACACAATCTAAAACAACCACATTCCTGTCCTCTTTCACCAATAGTGCAAGATGAGATCAATGCATCGGCTCCTTAAAGGACATTCACTTTTTTCAGGATGTTGAAAGGCAGACAAAAATATGCATGATGGAGACACATCACCTGGTTGTACAAGGTAGAATTTCCCCAACACTACTTTTTCTCTCTTTTTTTACATAGGAAAAGAAAATGACCAACACTTCGTCGTCTTGTTTGCAGATGCAGTCAAAAATGGGGACACAAACATCCAAATATACAACAAAAAAAAAAAAGTGTCTAAAATGGCAATAAAGGCGAGACTGAAAGGAGCTGAGAGGCTTCGGACTCATTCATGTCTCAATAATCAGGGTCAGTATGCAGAAAACAATGAGGAAAATGAGTAGAAACAGGAGCCCTCGAGGCAATGACAGAGTTCAACACAAATGCCCAGATGAGGGCAAAAGGCAAAATTCAAGCCAGACCGAAACGCAGTCGGCAGAGTAACCTTCTTCTCGTGATAAACATTATATAAATATTATAAAAATGAAGCCAAAAGGCTGATTGTCGCATCTAGTTTTGTTTGTGGTGCTGCATCAGTTTACTCTTTCTTATGGTGTATGTCATTGTTGTTCTTTGGACTGATTGTCTTTTGCAGGATTTTAGGAAGCCGCTTGCCTTTTGTGTATGCATGGTGCCAGAAATTGAGGAAGAGGAGGAGGAAGATGATGCCATACAGAGCAATGATGTACATGAATAGAGGATAGGGGTAAGGACAGTCTTTCATGAAGAAGTACTGGCTGATGTGAACGGTTACGAGGACAAACTGGATCTGAAAGAAGTGTGCAAATATACAATAGTGTCAAATGTAAGTCAGTTTAGCTGGAAATAAAAACTAAAAGAGTTCCAAAGTTCTATAGATCACATTTAGGTCAATAGTTCTTGGGTCAGTATGAATTTTAAATAGTTTAAAATAAGCTTAAAATTATTGCACTATAAAATAACTGATCAAAAATAGTTTAACTTAATTTAATCATTTATTATAGTGATTTTGATGATACATTTTCAGCTTCATTACTCCAGTCTTCAGAGTCACGTGATCTTTCAGAAATCGCTCTAATATTAATTATTATTATTATTATTATTATTATTACTGGTAATAGTAATAAAAGCAATAATGACTGGAGTAGTCATTTTATTTGAAACAGTGCTTCCCAATGGTTTGGAATATACTTACGGTGGTAGCTGGATTGAACTGCACTATTTACCCACATCACATACTGTATAGTTAACTTTATGCAAACAAGAAAACCTAATTTAATTTAACCATAATTTTATTTACTATGACACTGTTATACACTGTTTCTTTACAATGGATTAAAGTAAAAGACTGTTAAAATTAAAAAGATATCTACTATTTCTCTTTCTTTTATGCTATTCAGGAGTGATCCGACAGGTAACCTCTGCTTATCTCTATTTAAAGTTCAAAGCAAACTTGAATGCCAAAGCATTTTAGATATGTATATAAAATAGTCCATGTAACATATTAACATCATCTAAATCAATAAAATATACAGTAAATAAGAAATAAATGACACAAAACAGACAAGATCTCTAATAATGATAATAATTGCAAGATTAAAATGTGTAGATTATTTAAATAAGACAAATGCATTGACCATTACTAATAGTGTACAAATAATTTGCAGCCAGTTTAGACCAGTCATTTTGTCCTCTCTGAGTCTTTAGATTCCAGAATTAATTATTTAATGTTTCTCACACTGTTCGCACAGTTAGCTGCGAAGCCAAGCGATATTAGGCTTAAGTACATTGGATGAGATTTAGAAACCTGGCCGGACGAATTTTCAGTGCCAAAAAGCAGCATCTCTGCTAGTCTGCAGTGCACGTGAGATTACCTGTAGGAGTGTTGACAGGTCTCGCGGGCACAGAACGAAACAAATGAGAAGATTTCCACTACTTACAGATACGAAATAGTTTAAAAGGATGATAATAATAGAGAAAAAAAAAAAGTGTCACTAAATGTACTTGGGTGGCCGTTAATATACCCATGTATATTAATGGCCCAAGTAAAGACTGTGTGGGAAGCACTGAAACTACATACAATAATAATTTTACAAATATTTTTTACATTTAATAAATAATTAAAAAAAATAAAAATAAAAGGACAACGACAAAAATAAATAAAATAATAATAATAATAATAATAAAACTGACCCCAAAATTTTGACGGGTAGTGTATGCGATTCGAAATCCAATTAAATCAGATTTCTCATACCATTGCAAAATAGATGTAATAAATAGACTTCATTAATTATATACAATAAAACAGTGGGTATGTCAGTTCAAAAATGAATACATTAGGAATAAACAATGAAAATTAATTAGCAATTTAAATCAATAAAATTTAAATAAAATAATCTAGATTAATCCAACTTGAACTAATCCCAAAAAAATAAATGGAAAAAAATATATGTAGAAAATTTTACAACAAACATTAATGCACTGAAATGAAAATTTAGAGCAGACTCCAAAAACTAAATTAAATTTAAACTTTAAAAGTTTTTATTAAAATGTAATATAACAATTAATACTATATTTTTTACTATAAATACATATTGAAAAGTATAGATAATAAATAAGACAAAAAAAGACAAATGCACCTCATCTATTCTAAAAAAAGAACATTGAAAATACATACCAGCTGTAAGGAAGTCAGATGCTTCTTCCACCACAAAAATCTCTGAAAGGAAGGGCCCAGAGCTGACAGCAAATAGTATGTATACATGATGACATGAACAATGCAGTTTAGAAGAGCATGAAATGTGCCCAAGCCACCTGTAAAAACAGCAAGAACATGTATATTAAAGAGACTGGTACCCAACTCTGGTTCCCAAGACTGCCGTTTGATCACGAAGAGCATTTAAAAAAAATGACAAATGAATAGAGTTGAATATTAAAGTGGTAATGCTTTAAATAATGTTTAGTGTGTGCTTCACAGGATCTTAATGTATCAGCAGGAGCAATGAGTATTAATTGTGTTGCTCTGTAAGTACGAGCAGTCATTGACGTTTTCTAAAAACCACCAAAGATCAGTTTCAGATTAAATAAACAATATAGATTGTTCTACAATTTGTTCCCGCCAGGCAGATGATTTTAACGCGCGCACACACACACACACACACCAAGTCATTAAGGCATGAAAAAACTAGAGGCAAACCTGGAGAAAACCGCACTCCAAACCACCAAGTAAATGGCATGATGGAATGATGGAATACATGCAGAAACGTGATCTGTTTGGGCTTTTTCCTCAGCACAAAGAAAACCTGGCCAGAAAAGACAGATGAAGAGAATATTAACATTTCATTCAAATTCTGTGAACCGCCAACTTATTCAATATATGTTTTACACAGCGGATGTCCTTCCAGCTGCAAACTCCACACAGAAATGCCAACTGTCCCAACTGGGACTCGAACCAGAACCATGCTGTGAATCGACAGTGCCAACAATTGAGCCACCGTGCCACCCAATATTAACATTTAACATTTATATATGAAGAGTTTCAAAAGTACAGTGGTAGTTACTATATAGCTTTATATGGGTTCTAAATGTTTTGTTATCTAAACCACTCAAACCACATTAATGTCGTAGATTGTAGTTTTATTTGTAAAGCGCATACCAATGCCTCATTTTAATTCTCTATAAAGGAATATCAACACGTTTGCTTACGGTAACTGACAGCATGCCATATATGCTATCAATATGGCTTAAATTGCATTGCTCCTCTACAAGAAAAGCCATCACTCCAGGGATAACTGCACGATTTTAGCCCTGATTTTCACTCACCGACAGGTTGAGAAAAATCATCTACAAATGCCTGAAATTGAAGGAAAATTAGGGCTTATTCATACACCAATTCAAAATCTTACAGAAAAACACACTGGCGTTGACCTACAGCAAATGAGAACGCAAGATAAAAGGGCAGCGAGGAGTTCAGGGAGGAGTTCTAGACGAAAATCTCAGAATAAATAAGCTTAACACAAACAAAGAGACATTTGCCTGACCAGCAGTAGCAGAATTCAAAATTATTTATTGACCTCCAACTTTTTTTTCTTCCCCTACTTGCCATTTCGATAAAAAAAACAGCACACAAACCATCTGAACGGTAAATTATAAAAAAAAAAAAAAAATACTTATTGCAGGGTACCAATACCAGTTTTGCTGATGAATTCAAGTTATTTCCTTATAACTTCTAACCCACGTTTGCAAACTAGACAGACCTGTCGAGATTGTTTCTAGTGTAGTCATGAAGTATGGATCACCCTGTCACTGATTCATCATGATACCTTAGACAATTGTGCAATGTGAAAACCTCTGTGATTGGACAATTTTTAAAGTTGTGCAGCATAAACTGCATTAGTACTACTCAATACTACCATTTTGATGCATTTTTAACCTGAGAAAAACAGTAACATCACCGACTGAAAGTATGTCAAGACTTAACAGATTACCAGTTTCTGAATGACAGTACCTTCCAAAAGCATATCAAATAAAAAAATAGACATATGTATATAAAGAAAGAAAGAAAAACAAGATGTATTTGGCACCCCAAACTGGACTGATAACTGCACTCTGGCTGAATAAATATTCAGTACAGATGTCATGAAACCAATGTAATAAACAGAAAACAGTACTCACTGTGTCCAACATTTCAATGAACTTGGAGAAGTAATAGAGCCAGCAAACTGATGCCATCTGTAGACAGAGAAATGCATGATATGCATCATTCGTTTAGTCATTAGTCACGTGATTTAGACTTGATTGAATCCCTAAATTTATAAAAATCAAAGACAAATTTGTTAGTCCACATTGAGTGCACTGAAAGAGAACAGAATGGTCTTATGGATATACTCTCAAAACGTTCAAAATCTGTAATGTATTGTTTCAATTAAATCAAATCTGATAATTACCAATAGTAACTAATTTAATTAACTGAATTTACTTAAACTCAATTTATTTCTCCCTCCACTGCATATAAATAAAACAATAAACCAAAATTACTTAGAAAATGTCTTGCAAAATTCATTTTAATTTCCAGATCAAAAAAATCATATTATTTTTTTTATGTCGCAATGGTGTTAAGTGTACATAAACATCAACAAGAAACCCTAAGCCCTTAATTGGTTAAGTACATTTATTAGTCTTATGCATCCTTTTATTTTAAGCACCTTGGAAGAAGCTTGACAATCTCACATGCTGCATACAATGACAAAAGCATTGCATTCAAAAACATTAGAGATGTGAGGAAATTGCTAAAGAAATATTCTACAAAAACTGACACTATATAACTTTATAGATAATTTAACAAAAAGTACAGTGACGCCGAATAGCTTTCAATTCATACAACCCAAATTTGAAATGTGAAGCCTCTTATTTAAATGGTTCTCTTAGAAATAACCATAGAACAACCTTCAAAGTTTTATTCCATTAACAAAAACTAGAGTGCGTAAAGAACTATGTGTGCAAACTCCTGTGTCGAAACAGATGTGTTACGAAATTATGAAGGTTACGTCAAGTCAAACCAACCACATCTAAGCCAAATAACTAAACCTGGTCCCTTTTTACAAGCTTTTCACAAAACAGGTAAGGTCACATTTCTTCCATACTCACCCGCATAGCTTTTGGCGATTGAGAGTAGTCTACCAGATCACAGCCAAATGTATACCCCGTTCCCCAGCCTGCCATCAAAAACTGTACAGAAAGAAGATATACAGTGGCTTTAGATTCAACAAATAAAAGAGGGGGGGGGGGGGGTCAGCTCATTTTGTCTATTGTGTGTTGTTCAAAGCAATTTACACTGCCAGAAAAAAGCTACACTCCTACCAGCTGCTCCAGACATTAAGCAAAACATCTTTTGTGATTTTAAGAAGACAGAAGATCATGCAAGCTTGGAACATGAAGCAACAGGTTCACCCATTTGCACAGTGTGCATATGTATCGCATAAAGCAACAAAAAACATAACTCTATGGAATGTAACAAGACACGTCTTTATAAACTACAAAAGCAAAACAAAAACAGAATGTTTGTCTGCTAGAAAACAAAATGACAATTACCTCATAGCACATGTAAACGGACAAAGACACAACAAAGATGTTATAAACGATGAGGACCCGCTTCAGATCAAATGGTTTCCGGTTCTCCATTATCTTGGGCCCCAGTGAGATCACAAAATAGATGTAAAATACAATGATAAGCATTTGTGGGATTGGGTTGGACATGAGCAGCCAGCCTTTTGTCCGTGGGTCTGAAATCACATCACAAGAATATCAGCAATCCATTTAATGTCTCCAGGAACAACATCATCTATAGTAACTGCATTAGTTTAGTTCTATAATTAGCCGAGATCAATGGAGTACACTCATCTATGAGGAAATGACATTTCAACAATTTCAGAAACAGAATCAGTAGTTTCAACCACCAAAAAAAAAAAAAAAAACATTTAACCTTTGTGTACTGTTCAATTTTACTACCCTTTTTGATGTTTGTGGCTGTTTTGCCCCATTTACTTCCATTATAACTACATGTTCGGATTGCAACGCCTTGAGACCAAATAATCATGCATTGATGCTGGTTTTCCATAAAAGACGTAAAATTTCACATTTTTACTCTTGTTGATCATCAGTTGACAGCATTAACCAAAAAAAAAAAAAAAAGTTTAAGTTTTTTTTATATGGAGTAAAACAGCAAACTAAACACACTTGTTATAAACAGCATAAATACACACCTGTTTAACATGTTCTGAGAGATGAGCTCCTCATTTAAAAAAAAAAAAAAGAAAACTAGGTTTTTATTTTTTTGCACTGCAACAGTAAAAATTGCTAATTTTACCTGTTCCCAACAGGAATAACCAGCAACAATTGAGAAGGCATAAATATGGTGTCATGGCCATGCAATCAAATAAATGTTTTAATGGAAGTTAAGTGGTGAAGTTGAATGGGGCAAAAACAGCCACAAAAATAATGAAAGGGTAATAAATTAGCCCAGAGTGTATTGTTGAGTTTTTGAAAACTTTCAAAGCATTTACCCCAAAAAATGTGTCAAAATAAGATGTCACTCAAAGTCATTACATTTGTTGAAACACAGAGTTGTAGCTAAATTAAGACTCAAAAATCACCCCAGTTGACAAAAATGTCCACAACAGCACACAAGAGTTAAACATGGACTGAAATGATGATTTTAAATTGAGTAAAGCTAATAGTGTACTTTGCCAAATGACCTTACTTCGAGAGGTATTTCTTGCATTAATTGTCCAAGAGGGATTCTTTTTGTCTCAAAAGGTCTTGAACAAACCCAACCATTTCTTAAAAAAAATAATACATTACATTATATTATATTATACTACTGATTGAAACATGCTGATGATTATTGATAATGCCAAATGTGCATTTTTTACATAAATATTAAAAGTAATGCAAGAGCATAAAGAGAGAGAGAGAGAGAGAGAGCGAGAGAGCGCGCGCGAGCGAGCGAAGATTATGATGGCAGCCATTAAAGATTTTTTTGGTGCGATTTGCTCGTCACATGACTCAATTCTGACTGTTGGAGATTTTTTTTTTGGTGAATATTATGAATCATTTTTATACGAGGAATTCCTCAGTTTAACATGAATTTTATTTCATTGGGATCAAAAAGGTAATGTTTAATTGTGCTAATCTGTGAATTCGCATCACATGGAAATGTGACCAACAGAGATTGATGGGTCACAAGAGACCTGAAAAATAAAATAAAATTGCTGCAATGCAAAAAAAAAATAAAAGATGGAATGCTTCAACATTTTCAATTTACGGTTATTTGAAATAGGCTGAAAATGTTTTGTTTTTTTAAATATGCTGCAATAGGTCTGTCAATTCAATTTATCTTTATTTCTATAGCAACTTTTACGATGAAGATTGTGTCAAAACAGCTTAACATAGAAGTTCTAGTAAATTGAAACCATTTCAGTCCAGTTTTCAGAGTTGAAGTTCAGTTTAGTTTAAATTTCACTGCTGAAAGTCCAAACACTAAAGAGCAAATCCATCAATGAGTCAAGACCTTAAAATAGGCCTGTCAAACTTTCATAAGCAAACAGTTTGTATGCAACCTTTTAGGATAAGCTCAAATATTCCCCATGGACAAAAGAAATGAGTTTCTTCCCAAACTCAACCATTGAACATTACAAGTTGTTTGAGTTCAAACATGGTCATACATTGTTTTTTTCTGATGTCAGAAACATCTTACCTGAACTTTCCATCCACTTGTCAAACAGCTGCACAGCTGTCGATGTAAACTCTTGGAAAGCCATCATTGCCAAAGATCTGAGCCTGAAGGTCAAAAGAACAAAATAATTTTACAATTTCATTTTTCATAAAAATGTAATATCATTTACTTTAGAAGTGATATTAAGAGTTCTTCAGAAGTCTAAAATGAGATTCTACTTGGTTTACAAAGTGGCAGAAGATCATCTACAAACTTAAGTCAACCTCATCACGAGGTGTCATGAAGTAACTTTCAAGAAAGCAAACGTTTAACTAAAACAGCACATTATTAACGACACATTTACATCACTGTTGTGGAATATAGGTACTAAAAGAAATTGCCAGAGTGGCACAATACAATGCCACCATGAAAGATTGTATTGTGGCAAGAAAACACAAGTATTTAAATCCATCGGTCGGGCCATCCTCCATCTTCTCCAGCAAACCCAGAGCCGAACAAGAGAGCGAGTGTTAAGACACAATGGTCAGCAGTGAGTGTGTTAAGGACACAGAAGCCAGGACAGCCCGTAAACTCATGAGGGTGGATAAATGCAGAGCGCTGAGAACAATGTACAGCAATATACCACAAAACAGTTCACCTCAGATGCGTACAATGGGGACACTCAGTTGCTTTTGACATGATACAACCAGCAGAAAGTGCATTTTAAATTTCATTATTCTCCAATAAACACACATATGTGTGGCTGTTTAAAAGAGAAAAAAAAAAAAAAAAATATATATATATATATATATATATATATATATATATATATATATATATATATATATATATATATATATATATATATATATATATATATATATATATATTAATTTAAAGGGAAAGTTCAAACCAAAATGCTAATATTATATTGACTCTTTAGCACTGGTAGACATTATATTATCATCAAGAACCAATTGTTAGCTGAAAATGTAAGTTAATGTTTTACTGGAAAAAAAGCTTATTTTGAACTAATCTTTTTTAGGTGATTCATTATTATGATTATTATTATTATTAATTTACAAATAAAAAGTACCAAACTAAATAAATTTCACTCATAGATGTCAATTAAGAAATGAAAATTGCTAAAATTGCTTTAGTTTTATATTATAATCAGTTGCAAAACTAGATTATTTGTAGATCCATGAAGCTACAAATAGATAATATCATAGGAAGATTTATACTTGGAACAAACAGGACTGTTTTTTCCATAATGCCACAAGTTTGAAAAGGATGCGTTTTCATTAAACGTTAAGAGGGCATTTTAAACTGAAGGACCCAAATAAAAACAACCAAAGTCAAAATCACTAACTCAGCAGATGTAAAGAGTAGTGGCAAACATTAACTTCATGCATTGTTCATCTTGGGAAGCATCAAACCAAGAAATATTTTCCTCCACTCAAACATACTTCAGCGTTTGAAGATAAACTAATACAACATGAGTTTCAGGCTGTACTGGTCCAATTACCTGACGAAAGTTGCCTGCCTAGATACTGTAATCTTTCATACAAGCCTCGACACGCCTGTTGCCATGGGACAGTCAGGTTACAGGTGTGAAAGGAGGACACCACCTTACTCTCCACACAGGTGCATTCAACGGCTGACAGCCCAATACTATCAATACCTCAGAATTTCTTGGGCTTATTTAGCAAAATATGCACAATTAGTTTCCACAGTTTGTGAGCTTTTATCACTAAAATAAATTGTATCACAAACTATTTGATTTATGGAGGCCGGACAAATTATATCCTTTACATGGACGAGTTAAATTCTAGTGGTACGTGTATGAGTAGACATACTGACTTACTTTAGTGTTCTGTGCCAAATGGACACTTTCTCTTACCTTTTAATACTCATGATTGCTCAATGTACATTAACTAAAAGGTTTTCAAATAAATATTTTTGAACTACAGTATTTGTACAGTAATATCAACAACAGTAACGCACGTGTTCTCAAAGTTTGGGTATAATTACACAATTTCAAAGTCTAAAAAAAAGAAACAAACATACACACAAACACACACATCATCAATGGAGAGACGCCACCTGACAGCCTTTTAGTGGCCATAAGTCAGACTTTCAACACCAAACAAATTATTAAATAAACGTTAGTTCGTGTTAAATTGTTTAAAAGTTGTTTGACCTATTAAATGGCTCAAAAGCCAGTGTTCACTCGCAAGGTTTAAAGCCAAAATGTCCACATTACAGGAGATCAACAGAAAGGATTTCCAAATGAATACAGGTGCGCGTGCACCTGTCTTACCGTGACAAAACAGATGAAAGTCCCGATATTTGTGTATTCCCACACACACCCCAATGTTCTCCCGCGTTCACCAAGGGCTCTGGTCTTCTGCCTCTCGGCTAAGTAAAGTAACGCTACTTTAAAAAGTAAAAGCAAATGGTTTGACCGCAGAACCTTCATCAATTCATCTTTCAGATGCGGGAGTTCCGTCTTCAATGAGATAAGCGGCCAGTGGGCGGAGGCTTTCGCCTCATTTCGAGACTGGACCCTCTGATTGGTCAAGAGTCGCATCAGAACTTGGAAAACCTGGATGCTATTGGCTGTGTGATTCCCATTTAATAGAGAAACTTATGAGGTCAAAAGTTTAGCGTTAATGATGACTAGGGCCAGGGATATTTTTTGATATTTCTGTGCAGAATGTTGTAAAATAAATCTGCGGAATGATTTTGGGTGTATTGTGATTAAAAACGTAAAATGTTTAATAAAAAATATCCATTTTAACACTTATTTAATGTTAACAACGCAAAACCTATTAGATCCATTTATCCAGCAAAACTCTCTTAAATAATATGTCTACTATATATATATATATATATATATATATATATATATATATATATATATATATATATATATATATATATATATATATACACACACACATACATACATACATATATAATAAAAGGCAGGAAACATTACTTTACAAACAGTATTGTAAGTAAACCATATAAATATTTTCATATTAGTCAATAATAACATCCATTCATTCATTTTCTTTTCATCTTGGTCCCCTTATTAATCTGGGGTCGCCACAGTGGAATAAACCACCAACTCATTCAGCATATGTTTTGCAGAGCAGAAGCTCTTCCAACAATCCATCATTGGGAAAGATAGATCATATCATACACACTCATACACTAGGGCCAATTTTAGCTTACCCAATTCACCTGTTCACATGTCTTTGGATTTGTGGTGGAAACCGGAGCACCCAGAGGAAACCCACGTGAACATGGGAACATGTACATATAAACTCCACACAGAAATGCCATCAGTGACCGTCTTGTTGTGAGGCGACAGCACTACCCACTGCTCCACCGCGTCACCTCAGTATTACTGAAATGTATTTAAAAACTGATAAATTTACACACATTTACACACAACTAAATAAATAAATAGACTCAATGATGGGCTGGAAATCTGTGTGCACAGATTTTTACGTGAGCCCTAATGATGACCCAGGAACAATTTATATAAAAAAGTTCCTTTATTTTATCCTATAAAAAACTGACAACAATATTTGTAGCATAAATTTCATCCTCAAAGTGATTCTGTCAACATTTATCTACAATATTCAGAAGAACATATTTAAAACTCTTCAATGATCATGCCACAATTTATAAACAAACATTTTGCATAATCATCAGCATAGTTTTTACACTAAACCACTGATCAATTGTTCCTATCTAGGTGAAAAGTAAATGTACAAGTGAATCACAAGATGATGTAAAACTTTAATCCACATGCAAATCAGATGGTCACAAGCAATGAGAACAAATCTCCCACAAGTCTTTTTTTTCTGTACATTGAGCTTATATGCACCTGCTGTGCCTCTGAATGCAATAAGAGCACTTTGACTTCTTTAATAATGTATAAAGTGGTGTATTTGGATATAAAAAAACATTGCTGGGTTGATCTGTCAGTCTTCGTCGCTGCTCCAGGCATCGGCAAAAGCAGGATTGATAGCAGCTTGCGTTCCACCCTGTTAAAATATGCATTTAGAAACATTTGATCATTAACTCTAGTGTTGTTTGAAATGAATATGTTTGATCTGCTGAAGCTAGAAAAGCTACAAAATTTAAATGATGGTGATTTAAGTTTATCTAAACGTGGCATGATTGTTGGCACCAGATGAGCTGGTCTGAATATTTTAGAAATGTACTGATTTACAGGGATTTTCACACACAACCATCTCAAAGGTTTACAGACAATGGTCTAAACGGAAGAAAATATGCAGTGAGTGGCAGTGCTGTGGGTGAAAATGCCTTGTTGATGCCAGAAATCAGAGAAGAATGACCAGACTGCTTCAGCTAATAGATAGAGTAAACAGGATAGTGAACAGAAGATTAGAGGTCTTTATTGTCCACAAAGACTTGTGCTACTCCTGTCAGCTAAGATCAGGAAACTGAGACTATAATTCACACAGGCTCACTTCAATTTGACTTGAAAAAAGTTCGACGTTTAGCTGGTAACGTAGTGTTATTTATATGTGCAAGATTTTTTTGTTTTTTTTGTCAGACAAACTGGTAGAGCAGGATGTTAAACTCAAAACGCAAGCTAATCACAGCTATCTCACGTATACCATAGCTGAAAGCCACCGCATCTGAGTACATGCCTTAATGGCAATTCTGTTTGTCAAGTTTTCTGATCTTATCTGGTGGCTGTAGGACGTAAGCAAGGTGTGTTTACAGAAATTTAGATTTGCTTTCAGCCCCACCTAGCACAAAACCTGCAGATCTGTAAAGATTAATGCAGATGATTCATGAAGGCATTTTATTAGTAGCTGAGACACACAGTTAAGAGGGAAAAATGTAAATAGAAAATTATTATTTTTTTAATGTTGGGGTCATTTTAAAAAAATTCACCAAACTTCAAGATTAAAAAAGTTCTTGTTTTTTTCTGCTGTAAATACAGAGCATTTTTGCCGCATAAGTCAACAGGAGCGTTACCTGAATCAAACTCATTGTTTTTGAAATCCTATTAAGTGTAAAAAATAAACAACATTGAATATGTTTTACCTGTTTCGTGTTGGTTTCTTCATCATCAACATCAGGCTGTCTTAACACTGGAACCCAGGCAAGTATGTTACAGTCTTTACCTCCACTGTACAGCTCCTAATTAAGCAGCCAGCAGATTTAGTCAACAATGAGTTAAATCTCATGCTAACATTGAGGAAACTCTAAAGATATAGTTTTCCTTTCATGACATAGTTTCACTCTTTTGTTTTTTTACTAAGCAAACCGTCAGGATTAACATTACCTGATAATCAGGGTGGAACTCGCAGCAGTCCACATTATTATAATGTCCCCTTAACATTGTGATCAGCTCTCCAGAATGAAGCCCATACACCGCTACTGAGCTTCCACATGGCACAAACACAAACTCTGGACTGCAACCCCTTGATACGGTAAACTTCAGACCTTTGCGGCTCTCGTTCACGACCTTCCCATAGTTCACCTGTTGCAGAGAAATGAGGATTTCACAGTGGATTAGAAATGAAGATATAAAGTTACCGGTGCCGGTTTTGTTCTTGCAATTAGCGACTTCGTATATTGTTTTCGTGTTCTTGTTCGCTAAGAGGTCTGACAGCATTCCATCTCACTGCTGGAGGAAAAATAAACTTTGACCCACAAAATGGCAAAGCAGCACTCATGTCAAAAGACTAATTGCTTCTGCAGCAGGAACCACATGTCATTTTTGCAGATAATCCTCACAAAAACTCTCTCAAACAGCCCTACACAATCCATAAAACTAAGGTAGATAAAACTGGCGGCTGTGGATGCAGCATTTTACCATTAAAATACAGTTTACAAGAGAATTTAAATTTATGGTAAACTACCATAATTCATTAACACACCAACATTTTAAAGTATTACCATATAAAACTGTACCTTTCAAATACACAGACAAAAACACCACCAAAAGCAGATGGTGAAGAAAAAGATGAAGCAAAGCTCATAACAAACAGCTTTTCCACAAGCAGAGAAAAACACTAATATTTAGAATGAGGTGAGTGTCATTCACACTACTGTTAAAAGTGCAGTAGGTGCTGGTTGAAAGTCTCTTCAAATTCCAATAGTAATGATTCAAGTAAATGATCTAAATGTATTTTTATACTCTGGGTAAGGCATAAGTCTAAAAAATGTTCGTCCAATTAAAATTTGTCAGGGTGACAATTTAAAACGATTCACAGAGCTCATCTCTCAAAAGCCAAACTTTCTAAAATGTATCCCAATGTTTCTGATATATGCGATAAGTGTAAACTATCACCAGGTAACCTTAGTCATATGTTTGTATTTTGTCCCAAGTTGCAAAATTACTGGATTACTTTCTTTAAAATTGTTTCACATATTCTGGGGGTCAAGTTAGCTGTTTGCCCTTTAATCGCGATCTTTGGTGTTCCCTCCCAGTGTCAACCTTTAAACCGGTGACACGCTGACATTGTGGCTTTTGCATCTCTTCTCGCTAGGCGCAGAATACTTTTGTCTTGGACCTCCCCAAAACCCCCCTCTATTTTATTATGGCTCAAAGATTTGGTCTTCTTTTTAAAACTTGAGAAAATTAAATACAATATCAGAGGTAGGGGAGAACATTTTTTTGAAAAATGGCAACAATGTATTGCATTCTTTAATCACTTAAAAACCTTAGATATGGATTGAGTGAAGGTACATGTGTATGTATGTATATGGTTTGTTATTGTAATTTTTTTTCTGTATTTGTATTTTATTTTATTTATTATTATTTTGTTTATTTTATTTATATATTTATTCATTTGTAGATGTTGATTGTTTTATTTGGGGATTGTTTTGTGGATCGTTATAAAATGTAAAATGCTATTTGCAAGAATAAAAATTCCATGACAAAAAAAAAAAATTGTCAGGGTGTAATTCCCATAATTCTGATAAGTAACCCAAACTGTCTGTCAACAAGTGTAGATTTGTACATCAGCACCCGTTCACGCAGACAGATCCGCCGTTTGCGTGTGTTCATGTAAACACGAGAGAGTGACATTGGTATAAAACAAATGCTAAATCAAAACTTTTTAAAATCCTAAATCTATATTGGAGTTACTTTTTTACGCTGGAATAAGGATTTCTATTTAGTTTAACAACACATCAGTAAACAGCGCTATTCCGCCTAGCCTGCTTTACGGAGATGAAGTTGGTTTAATATTCATATCACATTGGTTCATTTTTAAACAATGACAACCTGTGATGCACTCCCTATATTGTTTAACATGCTACTTTGAATATTCGGTCTGAAATAAGGTTTAAGTATGGCTTGTAACAAGTGTAAATCCTGCAGCCCGCCAGCCAAGCACTAAACATACAGTAGTCGCTTTAGGACAAAGAACGTGAGAGACTGAGACCAGCGATCTTGCATGCATGAAATATTGCACATTATGACAAGTTTTGCATGCTACACAACAGAAAACATGCTAGATATAATACGGTTTTTTGTTTTGTTGTATGACATAATCTAGTGGGTTGTCTACTGTCATCTTTAAGATGTGCGTTCGTGTGTCAGGAGGCATGGCTTTGGATGGCAGGGAAGGGACTTTGTTTTTAAAGCTCTTATGCTAACAGGATATTTGGCAAATCACCTACTGCACCTTTAAACAAAGTTGAAGCAATGCACATTATACTAAAGTAATGGAATAAACAATATTTATCAGCATTATATGATAAATAATATTTGATACAGTTTTCACGTACATAAATAAGAGTGAATTGCTACTCACTAATGTGTTTTCTCCAGTGCCGCTATTCCACAGACGCATGCGATCATCTGTCCCTGTAGTGAGGAGGTGGAGTCCATCAGCTGTGAAACACAACCCATTCACTCTTCCGTTGTGTGCTGTGTTCACTGTGGGGAAAAGACGAATGAATATTTGATCGTGGATCACAAAACTAGTCCGAAAAGTCAATCTTTTGAAATTGAGATTTTTACATCATCTGAAAGCTGTGTGAATACGCTTTCCATTGGTGTACAGTTTCTTAGAATAGTATAATATATTTGATTTGATCTATTTATTTATTTATTTCTAACAGAAAAATCATAAACAAAACAATTCTTTAAACAAAAATACATTTCAACATGGTCGAAATGGAGCGGCATGAGGCACAAGCTTATTATTTCCCCACCCCATTACCACATATATCATTCTTCTATCACTTCAACTCATTTCTTCTTTTACTTATCTCTTCTTTTTACATGATACATATGATCCTAACATGACATATATTTTATCCTTTTGGCATCTTTGACATATTATATGTTTGATTGCATTTATATATTTACATTTTATAACATAGAGCCAAAAATTACATCGTATTGCAAAAAGCTAAATTTCATCACACCTTTCTCCTTCTATTCTTTTTCAATCACCTCTATTAATCATTATATTCCTTTAATAATATAAATATGTATTTATTAATTTTATATGTTCTTCCTTTTTATAGTAATTTAAGGTTCCCTGTTTGATGACAATAACTTTTTCTTCATTGTCGTAGACCTTTTTCAGCACAGTTTTGAAAACCTACTTCTATTTGTCTATTACCATACTTTTATTTATTTATTTATTTATTTATTTATTTATTTATTTTTAACTGGCTTATTTTTACCCTTACTTACCCCTAAACACAGATTTGGTTTATTGCCTTTTTTGGTTTGGAAATCTGTTTTATGTATATGTATTTATGTGTGTATGTGCATATGTATATATACATTTATTTTATTTTATTGTTTTTATTTGTTTTAGTATGTCCTTGTCATTACTCTTCAGTTTTTCCTTTATTCACACTATTGTTGTTATTGCTGGCACTATTATTCATACTATTATTTAACAACCTGTATATTGGTTATTACATGTATATATATGCGCTTTGCTATATACTGATTGTCTACGGAATGTTTTTCTATGTTCGAAAAATACAAAATAAAAGAAAAATTTAATGGAGAAAAAAAGAAAAATAATAATATTATGTATACAACTTTTTAATTGATTAATTTCCTGACTTTGTTTGGGAATCTGTTCAAGATTGTTCCATACTTTCACACCACTTACAGATGTACACAAATGTTTTTAGGTTGTCCTTGTTTTCAACCTCCTGCAATGTTGTTCTTCTCTCAGATTATTACCCTTGTCTTTCTTTTAAAAACTTTTGTATGCATTTCGGAAGTAGTTTATCCTAGCTTTAAACATAAATTGTGCTGTTTTCAATTTAACCAAATCATTGGACTTAAGTATCTTCAATTTAAAAAATAAACTAATTGTATGCTCCAAAAACCCAGTTTAAAATCAGTTTAATGACTTTTTTTCTGCATTGTGCATAGGGATCGTAAGTTAGATTTATATGTGTTCCCCCAAATTTCAACACAATAACTCATATATGGTAACATAAGTGTGTTATATAACACATGCATTGATTTACTGTCCAGTTTATACACTACTGCGACAGTTTTTACTAATTTTGATATCACATTATTTATTTGCGGTTACCAAGAGACATGGTTGAGACATGAATATTTTAATATCTGAAATTTATAAAAATATAAATACAGCAAAAATCAAATGTCTAAATGAAATGTTTAGCAATGCACATAACTAAACACAAATTATGTTTTTATATATTTACCATAAACAATTTACAAAATGTTTTTTTAAAAACAGATCATTTTGACATGAGTTTGCATTAACACTACCCAAACTATTACTAAAAGTAAAAATCAAAATGACAAAAAAAATGTCCAAAACAATACAAGAGTTCTGTAGTAATATTTAGTCTGATGCTAATGCATTTTATAGAATACATATTCAATGCTTAAGAACAGCAATTGAAAAAAAAGGCAACATCTAAAGTTGAAGTCACAATGACCTTTATATAAACAGGGAAAAATACAAACTGTGATTTCACCTGCTTCAGACGAGGCCTTGGATTTATCTCCATTGTGCTGGTCCAAAGTAAAAAGACTCCCGGAGGCTCTTCTCACATCCCAGATGCGAACCCTACTGTCAGTGCTAATAGGGAAAATACATTACACAAGAGTTACTAGCAATAATACAAGATCAATATAAATAAATCTCTTATAAATGATTGGGTGAGATTTAAAACTGGCCTTTAAACAAGTAACACCCTCTCTGTTCAATTATTATTAATACTTTCTCAATTAAACAATCAATTGTTTTTATGTTTTATAAAGTGCTAAAGAAATAAATGTGAATTATTTAGGAATTCGCATATAGTGAGAAAACAAAAAAAGAGATGCTTGAAATTCCCCTGATAATCTTTTTTTGTGGCAGGATTCAGAGATTGTCAAGTGCTAATCTAATCTTGCAGAGAAAGACTGATGCACAATACATTCTTAATTGTTGTTCATTCAATAAGAACAGTTTCAAAAGTCCCTGATGGCTAATTAGCTCACTCTCATTCACTCTCAATATGTAAACAGAAAGTAAAGTTCTGAATCTGTTGAGGATCTGACCGCAATCATGCATATAAAACTACACATTGTGACTTAAATACATAACAAAGAAAATCCGAATTTCAAATAACTGAAAAATTCTTAATGGATAAAAAGCAGCAACAGATAATATGATGTAACTGTTTTCGATGAAAAGGAAAGGTGAGAGAACTGACATTCATTCATGCAGGTGTTGACGTATTTACCTGGCAGTGGCCAGTATGTGTTCATATCGTGGAGACCATCTCACTGAGAGGATCTCGCCCCTGTGACCTGCCAGGAAAAACTCATTATAACTGACTTGAAATGCTGCATTATGTGCAATCCGCAAATTAGACTTAAAAAAATATTCAAGCAGGTGACTGATTTCAGCCATTTCTTTGTGTCTTTAATAATTTAGAAGGAGGGATTAATCAGATTCAGGAGTTTTTAGATTGGACAGAACATTTTAAGTGCATATCTGCTGATACCGGTAAACAGAGAGATACATTTTGAGTGTATCTTGTCTTCTAATGTGAAGTTTGGTATTTTGATGCGCACTAGATTATAGATAACCTTAAGACATGCTAGCCACCTTGTTCTGACTGCTGCAAAAAGAAAAAACAATCCTGAAACTATGGTTGGATCTATCTGCTCCAACTGATCTATCCTGGAGGCTCAATCTACTGGACATTATTAGTCTGGAATATACCACAGGCAAAATAAATGGTGCCAGTAAAAAAAAAAAAAACTGTACAATTTTGGTCAAATATGAGAGAGACTTTATCATTTATTTTTCAATCCTGGTTTTGTACTTATAATTAAAATATTACTGTTTTTATTTTATTGTACATATTTTGCTGGGTGGATCTCGGGCTTTGTTCAAAATTAAAATGTTCAATAAAAAGAATTTAAAAAAAGACATACTAGCCACCAAAAAAAATAAATAACTAAATAAAGTGTTTCAGGGGGCTTTAGCTTGCTCTCAAAATGTTTGCATATACATCCATTCATAGGTTTGGGGTCAGCAATACCTGATATCTACTTAAATTAATATTTTCTAATTATTTTTGCTACTGTTTCAAATTACTGCTGTTGTTGTAAACTTTTAATTCATTAAAAATAAATATATATTAAAAACAAACATCCATGCATATATCTAGGGTAAGATTTGATATTTACAAAATAATTATTTTAGAATAATTTTTGCTTCTCTTTCAAATAAGTTCTGTTGTTGTAAACTTTGTATTCATTCAAAACTCCTTAATAATACTCAGCAGCCCTGATAATATTTCCTGAGCAGCAAATCAGCCTTTTAGAATGATTTCTGAACAATCATGTAAAACCAAAGACTGCTGACAATTCAGATATTGCAATCGCAGAAACTGTAATACATTTAAGCATATGTACTAGTGATCCATCATACACTGTGGCATCTGAGAAGGTCAGGTGGCAAAATAGCCAGGATTCAATAACTCATGCTTAAAACATTCAAGCTTTTGGTTTTTAAAAAGAGTACATTATAACCCCCACCAGGGCTGTCTCCATTCAGAAACAACAGGCATTACTCACCCTGAAGGATGTGGATGCGCGACCCAGACTTCAGATCACAAAGCTGCACTTTGGGGTCTTTGGTACCAACTGCCAACACAGAGCACAATAGAGCTGAGTGAGAAGAATAACACAACAGCTCAGACACACTGTTATTGTAAAAGCCCTGAACCCACAGTTAAGGGCAAAAACCATTAACATAGCTACTGTATATGTGTGTTCCTAATAGTACAAATTGCAAACAAATACTTTGTTACTTAGATTTGTCTCGTTTCTAGTATAAATATCTAAAAAATTCTTAAATCAAGAAGCATATTCTAGACAAACAAAAAAAATAATAATAAATAATATGCCAAAATTAAGTGAGTTTTCCCTAAACCAAGCTAAATAATCTGCCAATGGGGTGAGCAAAATAATCTAGTTTGTCCTTTATACATACAGTATGATTGTTTTTCTGAACCCATTAGTAGATTACTTTGCTTGTTTTAGGGAGAAACCCACTTAATTTTCACATTATATTGCTTAAAACAAATGTTTTTAAGTTGTGTTTTTCTTATCAACAGAATGCTTCTTGATTTTCAATTTTTAGACATTTGGAAATATATTCTACATAAGAAAAGCATTTTTTTTTTTTTTTTTTTGCAGTGAAGTATTTTGTAAGATTTATGTAACAGATGGTTAAAACTAATTAAATGTGATCTTTAAAGTCCTCTGATTGCACAATCGCTCTAATGCTTTGGACTGACCTACATAAACTGGTCATAAAATTTGAATCCAAGTCAAAATAAAAACAAATAAGTGTAAGTAATAAGGCTTAATCAAATACATGCTTTGATGATCTCCAGTAACTGGAGGCAGGAACTTGATGTCAGCAAAATTAGAACCTGATTTTTTTAATAACATCAGAAATTTGGTTGCTTCTATTCTTTATTTCTTAAGATGTTTTTGGGTGCTAAATAGATAAATAAGAGGGCGGCACAGGGGCACAGTGGGTAGCACTGTCACCTCCAGGCAAGAAGGTCGCTGGTTTAAGACCCTGCTGGGTCTCTTGGCATTTCTGTGAGAATTTTGCATGTTTTCTCCATGATTGTATGGGTTTCCTCCGGGTGCTCCGGTTTCCCCCACAGTCCAAAGACATGCTCTACAAGTGAATTGGGTAAGCTAAATTGTCTGTAGTGTATAAGAGTCCTTCAGGTTGGGGGTTGAGCATTGGGCTAACAACCCACCTTTTAAAAATGAGATGTTACGAAACACCAACATGGTGAGGCTAAATACCAACTTTGATATAAACGGCCCTGGTAGTAAGTAAACAGATAAATAAATATATGTGTAATTTAAACTACTGTTGGAAAATTCTGTAAATGTCTGGATGGAAAACTTGACTTAGTTTTTCTTGTATCTGTTTACTTTTCAAAGTTTCAATGAATATACAGTAAGACGAAGAACTGATTGTTAGATTTAAATGTATGATAAGAGAAAGATCATACATTCAAAAATAAAGGTAAAAACTCATCACTAGGGGCATTTTAAGGTACAATTTGAACGCTTAAAGTACTAAAGTTCACCTTTTGAAAAGTTACTGCCCTAGTAACAGCTTTTGTACCAATAATTCTAAGAGTGTAACGTCTGATTATTGTGAGAAAATACTTTATGTGATTAACTGCATGGGTGTCGCTAGGCCCGTTTAGGGGGGCTTTAACCCCAATATATTTTTTATTTACCCCTCTAAAAATTTAGCAATTAGCTCATTAACTGTACTCCAACCTCAATCCTTTTTACATTTTAAATGAAAATGGCAGCAGACTTCCGCTCATGTTTTGAACTCGCTTTTAATGTAATCAGCAAACCCCAGCCGTGCAGAGTGAGAGAACAAGGTATGTGTTTACTGTTAGATTGTTATAATATTTGCATATTTGCAGTTCTTTGCTATAGAAACACTTGTATCACATGATGTACCCCAACTCATGGAGGAGCAATCTGGTTTCCCATCTACTAGTGCTCACCTCAATATTACGTTTCCTCCAGCGAAAATGTAGCTCTTAACAAATATTTAGCTATTTTCATTGCTATTAGCCTGTTCGGGTTTTCATATGTTTATATTTATGCCATTTCGAATTAAAAAAGTGATTCAGTTTTATTTATTAATAGATGGGAAAAAAATGTACTTGAATATAGAAAGTGGTTTGTAGTACTACAGTAAACAAGTGTGTCAAGCCTATTTAACTCATTCAAACTCAAATGGCTGTGTCTGTCTATGTAATACAGTGAAATTCTGCTAGCTTAGTATACCATATTTTATAATGTTCTAAAAATATTAAGAAAATTTATTATTAGGGGCGTCAAAGTGACATAGTGGGTAGCACGATCACCTCACAGTAAGAAGGTCGCTGGTTCGAGGAGCCTCAGATGGGCCAGTTGGCATTTCTGTGTGCAGTTTGCATGTTTAGCAAATGTTTGCGTGGGTTTCCTCCGGGTGCTCTGGTTTCCCCAATAGTCCAAAGACATAGGGTATAGGTGAATTGATTAAGCTAAACTGTCCATAGTGTATGTGTGTAATTGAGAGTGTATGGGTGTTCCCTATTAATGAGCTGCAGCTGGAAGGGCATCTGTTGCGTAAAACATATGCTGGTTAAATTGGCAGTTCATTCCTCTGTGGCGACCCCTGATTAATAAAAGGACTAAGCCGAAAAGAAAATGAATGAATAAGAGTATTATTAGGCTAATTTATATAAATTTAAACAGTTGAATTTTTTTTCTTTTTAAATATTTCCCAAATGATGTTTAACAGATTAAGGAAATTTTCAGTTTGTCTGATAATATTTTTTCTTCTGAAAAAAGTCTTATTTGTTTTGTTTCGGCTTGAATTAAAGCAGTTTTTAATAAAAAATAAAAAAAACATTTTAAGGTCAAAATTATTAGCCCCTTTAAGCTATTTTTTTTCAATAGTCTACAGAACAAACCATCGCCATGCAATAACTTGCCTAATTACCCTAACCTGCCTAGTTAACCTAATTAAGCGTTTAAATGTCACTTTATGCTGTATAGAAGCGTCTTGAAAAATTTCTAGTCAAATATTATTTACTGTCATCATGGCAAAGATAAAATAAATCAGTTATTAGAAATTAGTTATTAAAACTATTATGCTTAGAAAAGTGTTGAGTAAACCTTCTCTCCGTTAAACAGAAATTGGGGAAAAAAATAAACAGGGAGGCTAATAATTCTGACATGAACTGTATATACTGGTTAACTAGATATATAAACTCAACATATAAATAATAAAGCATCACTGCCAACAATTATGCAAGGTGTCTGTTTATGTTGTTTATGAATAGAAATGAATGATGAGTCCACTGAAACTAATAGCTGGAAAAGAAAGAAAGTCACTTTCGACAAAAGGAGCACTGATGTGTTCATAACCTGTCCTTCCTGATTGAAGATAAGTGCCTGGATTCCTCACGTCTGGTATCTGCAGCAGGAAATGGTTTGCCGTCTCCCCATTTAACGATAAAGATGATTAAGATCCTCTACATTCTTTCACTTAAAACAAAAGAATACTCTAGCACCGATACCGGCTTCCACCTACAATACATTTCCCTCCTTTTAACCCTACATGTTTTAATTATTATCCCTCCTAATTATTATGTTTTCTTTTTCGAATATTTCCCAAATTATGTTTAACAGAGGAAGGAATTTTTCACAGTATTTTCTATAATATTTTTTCTTCTGGAGAAAGTCTTATTTGTATTAATTCAGCTGCAATAAAAGCAGTTTTTAATTTTTTAAAACCATTTTAAGGTTAAAATGATTAGCTCACTTAAACAATATGTTTTCTACAGAACAAAGAAAAAAAATGAAAAAACTGTACAAAAGCACGCACATCTCTCTTAATTGGGTGCTCAGCCAAAACCGCAAAAAGTGCAAATTAAATGTAAATCAAAGGCGGCAACACCAAGGCTCCAAAAATACAAATTTATTAAATTAAAAAGGCTGACACAGAGCGTGTAAGGTTTCGAGCCGCCGGCTCTTCATCAGACAATGTTTATCACAATCAGGTGCTTCCTTTTATACACTTCCGGATCACATGATCTCCTCTCGCATATATGCCAACATATACATACATGCACATGTATACACACACAATCGTTCATATATGCATATACATACATATGAATACGTATACACATTCACATATAGTCTATAGCTTTATTATTACAAATCAAATAACAAAAAATATATATAAATACATAAATAAACTATAATATTACATCACAAATTATAATAAAAAAAATAAATAAATAAGGAAAAAAATATATATATATACCATGATACACCAGACTATACAACAAAATATAGCCAAAAAACCTTTAAACCAAACCCCTACTTAAACCTTCATTCATTCATTCATCATTCATTCATTGTCTTTTCGGCTTAATCTCTTTATTAGTCAGGGCTACCACAGCGGAATAAACCGCCAACTCATCCCACACACTTCCCCGCAGCGGACGCCCCTCCAGCCGCAACCCATCTCTGGGATATTATTACATAATAAAGACTTATTCAAAAATGATTACAGAAAAGGACGAATGTCAAACTCCTCATTTAAACCTTTTGGAGACGAAACGTTACACGCTCTGTGTCAGCCTTTTTAATTTAATAAATTTGTATTTTTGGAGCCTTGGTGTTGCCGCCTTTGATTTACATTTAATTCTACAGAACAAACCAATGACTTATTGCACTAAATTGCCTAATTAACCTAGTTAACCCTTTAAATGTCACTTTAAGCTGAATACTAGTGTCTTGAAAAATATTTAGTAAAATATTATTTACTGTCATAATGACAAACATAAAATAAATCAGTTATTAGAGATGAGTTATTTAAACTATTATGTTTACAAATGTGTTAATGTGGGGGAAAATATACAGGGGGGCTAGTAATTCAGATTTCCACTATATGGCAACTTCATTGACATTGATTACAATGAGTACTTCAATGAGTGATATTTCAAAATAAAAGCTTTCTTTTTCTAAAAAAGTAGAAAGTTTGGGTGAACAAACCTGCCACAAGGCTGTGCTTCCTGGCTATAGGAGACATGTGATGACAGTAGACATTGCCATCAAACTGGAACTCATCAGCTGGCTGAGAAAACAAACAAATGAATAAATGTTACTATATTTATTTATTTTTGTACACTTTTATTTTATATTTCTAACGGAATAACACCTGAATCTAATGTCAAGAAAAGAAAAATCAGAAAATACACAAATATACATGTTAGATGTGCTTTAAGGGGGCAATAAAAAGGTAATGAATGTTGCTTAGACACCATTCCTGTGTGTCAGTTACAATGCAAATACCAGACTCAGGGTCAGTAGATAAGTGGCGTTTGGCAACACAGAGGAGCCACTGTTTGAGCAGATTGGTGGTTCTACAATGAGACTGGGTGGGAATTAACTTTACTTTCTTTGCCACTTTTTAATGTACTGAACGTTGATGCAAATATGTAACTTGCCAATCGTAAGCCAGCAACTTAGGCATATTTAGGCATGTAGGTGTGGTTAAGATGATCAGATGAAGATCAAACAAGGCATCAGAATAAGGAAGAGGGTGATTATAGTAGCTTTGAATGTGGCATGATTGTTGGTGGCTGTATTTCTGATAACTGCTGAACACAATCAATACTGCACAACAGGAGGTTGGGGGGGGATGCTTTTTCAGATGAGTATAAAATTCAGCTGCAACATTTGGATGGTAGACTTAGACTGTGGGGTAGACTCAGAAAAAGTCTAGGGAGATGTGATGCTTTTAACCCCACTCAAACTGAGCATTATTTACAGTTGGAGTCAGAATTATAAGCCCTCCTGAATTATTAACCCCCCTGTATATTTTTCCCTAATTTCTGTTAATTCATTTTCCTTTCGGCTTATTTTCTTTTCGGCTACAGTGGAATAAATTGCCAACATATCAAGCATATGTTTTAGGCAGCGGATGCTCTTCCAGCTGCAACCCATCTCTGGGAAACATCCATACACACTCATTCACACTCATACACTACGGACAATTTAGCTTACCCAATTCACCTGTACCACATGTCTTTAGACTGGGGAAACCGAAGCACCTGAGTGAAAACCCACGGGAACGCAGGGAAGAACATGCAAACGCCACACAGAAATGCCAACTGAGCCAGCTGAGGGTTAAACCAGCGACTTTCTTGCTGTTTAACGAATATATATACAGTTAAAGTCAGAAATATTCGCCCCCTTTGATTTTTTTTCTTTTCTTTTTTACATATTTCCCAAATGCTGTTTAACAGAGCAAGGACATTTTCACAGTATGTCTGATAATATTTTTTCTTCTGGAGAAAGTTTTATTTGTTTTATTTCGGCTACAATAAAAGCAGTTTTAATTTTTTTTTAAAAACATTTTTGGGACAAAAATATTAGCCCCTTTAGGCTAATTTTTGTTTTGATATTCAGAACAAACCATCGTTATACAATAACTTGCCTAATTACCCTAACCTGCCTAGTTTACATTATTAACCTAGTTAAGCCTTTAAATGTCACTTTAAGCTGTATAGAATTGTCCTGAAAAATATCCAGTAAAATATTATTAACTGTCATCATGGCAAAGATAAAATAAATCAGTTATTAGAGATGAGTTATTAAAACTATTATGTTTAGAAATGTGTTAAAACAATCTTCCCTCCGTTAAACAGAAATTGGGGAAAAAAATAAACAGTGGCGGTAATAATTCAGGGGGGCTAATAATTCTGACTTTAACTGTATATTTTTTTCCAACACATTTCTAAACATAATAGATTTAATAACTGATAACAAATTACAACTGCTTTTATTCTAGCTGAAATAAACAAACAAGACTTACTTTAAAAGAATAAAACATTAATAAGCTAAACTTTACCTAAATATAATTAGGGAAATATTTGAAACAATAACAATTTCACAGAAGGGCGAATAATAGTTATTATTATTATTATTTATAAGGGGTTTTTCACCTTTAATTGGAAAGGACAGTAGAGATTTGCAGACAGGAAAGTATTTGGAGCAGAGAGAGGGGAAGGGTCGGCAAAGGACCTCGGACCGGGAATCAAACACGGGTCGCCGTGAGCACCATGATGCTATATGTCGGCACACTTAACCACTAGGCTATTGGCGCCAACAGGAGGGGAATAATTTTGACTTTAACTGTATGTGTAGTTGACAAAATATTATGTTTAGAAATGTGTTGAAAAAGTCTTCTCTCCGTTAAACAGAAATTGGGGAAAAAATAAACAGTGCTAATAATTTCAACTGTACATATATTTATTTATTTAAAAAAAATATTATCAGGCATACTATGAAAATTTCCTTGCTCTGTTAAACATATTTTGGGAAATAGTTTAAAAAGAAAAAAATTCTAAGGGGGGCTAATAATTCTGACTTCAACTGTAGTTTGAAATCTAATGTTTGACCAAAAAAAAAGTAATAATTAATAATAAATAAAAAGGTCAGTAATTTTATCAATTAATTCACTTTTCTTTTTTTTTTTCTTTTTCTACATTTTTCCTTAACTGTGCATTAAATTAACAGAAGCACATTGTGGGACTCTTTCACGTGATTTTGAATGGGGAGCTTCTGTGGCTTTGTCTGAGTTAAAAAATGGTGTCCTTTAACTAATTAGTTTTCGTGGACTTGTCCACGGGAGATTTATAGATGTTTTTTAGATTTGTCTCAAAAATTTTAAAATACAATCAATACCAGCAGTTTTTATAACAAAAGGTCTCTGGAAAACAAATAAATGTTTAACCATTTACAACATTTTAAATGATAACAATGTTCGTTTTTGTCATGTGTGACAGTGAAAATGCAACGTCATGTCAACAACCCTTATGCATTGTGATGTGTTGTTGGATGAAGGACGCACACACCTTCAGAGTTTCAGCATCCCAGACTTTCATGGTTTTGTCGAAAGAGCTGGATACAAACATACCGGTGTCATGTGGGTACCACTGCACTGTTTCCACGCTGAATTTATGCACATGTCGACTGGACCTTCACAAAGAAACAGATGTTAAAGTCACACAACCTGACAAAGCATTTAAATGAGAAAATGTCACACTGCCATCTAGTGTCGACTGGATCCCTTTGCTACAAACCTGCCCACAGTGCAGATTGCTTTGCAGGTGTATTGAGGCTTCTTGCTGTTGTTCTCCAAGTCATAAATCACAATTACGCCATCAGATCCGCCTGACAGCATACTGGAATGCAAAACAGGCTGGACGTTAACCACATGTATAGATATATTGCATCATAAATGTGCTATATAGCAGTGTTTCACAACCCTGTTCCTGGAGGCACACCAACAGTACATATTTTGAATGTCTCCCTTATCTGACAGGTTTTGGAGTCTCTTCTAATGTTCTGATGAGTTGATTCTGGTGTGTTTAACAAGGAAGAGGTTGAAAATGCTTATTGTTTGTTGTACCTTTAGGAACAGGGTTGGGAAACACTGATAAATATAAAGCATTATTTAGTATTAAGAGCATATACATGTAAATGAAAATATGATTGCAGTGTTCTGCTATTCTTGACGGAGGAATATACTTACTATCTTCCATCAATAACCTCAATGTCAAGGGTGTTGATTCCATTGCCATGAATACGATCCACATCCCTGTTGTGGTTCAACTCAAGACTCAGCACCCTAAAGACACAAATTTGGGTAAAGTTTATTTCTCCTTAATAATACATTTTCAGAAAAGTATTTTTGGTAAATGTTAATAGCGAAAGCATATTAGAAACAATGACTATTTACAACAGTACAACATTGCTCGCAGTCAATTAAATAGTGCTGATGTTGTTTTAAATCATGGTGCGAATTATACATTGACGATCAGGGTGGTCAACTTTTTAGGTTAAGTTAATGTGTAATTCATGCTTCAGCGAATTCAATTTATCTATTAGATAAATTACATCTGACACATTTTTAAGCATTTTTAGGTTTTCTGTGTTGTGAGGGATATTTGGTGTATTCTGTCTTACAGTATCCTCTGATTAACTACTTTAGAAGTTACTGTAGGTCAAATCACACAAACTATACATTTAATTTGATTTTTTTTTAGGCTGTATGTAGAAACAAACACCTATTTAATGAGAACACTTACGATGTCTATCGGTGGTTGAATGATTATTTTCTACATGGTACGAACCGTTAAAGGGGTGTGATCAAAGTTTATTTATATTATTGATTGCTTTAATTATTAATATTTTTATTAAAATACAGATCGGAGGCAGCACAGTGGCGCAGTGGGTAGTGCTCTCGCCTCACAGTAAGAAGGTCGCTGGTTCAAGCCTTCGCTGGGTCAGTTGGCATTTCTGTGTGGAATTTGTATGTTCTTCCGTGTTGCCATGGGTTTCCTCCAGGTGGTCTGGTTTCCCCCACAAGACCAAATACATGCGAGAGGTAAATTGGGTAAGCTAAATTGTTCGTCGTGTATGTGTGTCAATGGAAGTGTACGGGTGTTTCCCAGTGATGGGTTGCAGCTGGAAGGGCATCCGCTGAGTGAAACATATGCTGGATAAGTTGCAGTTTCATTCCACTGTGGCGACCCCAGATTAATAAAGGGACTAAGCCGAAAATTGAATGAATGGATGGATGGATGGATGGATGGATGAATGAATGAATGAATGAATGAATGAATGAATGAATGAATGGATGGATGAATGAATGAATGAATGAATGAATGAATGAATGAATGAATGAATGAATGAATACAGATCAGAGCAAACTATTTCTCAGTAAAGGGCTGATCCCCCATACCTCTTGTTTGGACGTCCTTCAGGGGGGGATCAAGCATTAATTAATTAGAGGGGGTCAATCTCCCCCAAACACTCCTGTAATTCGCACCCTGTTTCTAAAATCATATTTACATGCAATAGTAATTATCTGTTATTATTTACATTTCAGACTGAATATTTAAAGTGGCATAATAAACAGAATAAAGACAGAATGTGCAAATATAAAACCAAATTTACCCCAATAAGCTCCAGTATGTTAAAGGATAGTAAGTTTTGTCCATTTTTCTGTCAATTTTTGATAAACTGGATGTGACATGAAATTTAAATTAAAGAAGAATTACCAACAAAACACATGTTGGCCAAATAGTTCAAATATTAATAATGGCAAAATATTAAAGTAAGATTTATATACTGTAGTATAACAAAATGACGTAAAACAATATTAAGTTTTAAGAATAAGCTAAATGTGCATTATTACGATAGTAATATTTTAAAAAAGTTCTTGTATTGTGTAAGATATATTTTTTTAAAAAGCGTTATTTGACTTTATTTCTCTCTACCAATCATAAACATTAAAAATAAATAAATAAACTGAAGAAATCATTGAAAATTATAGCATTACCTGCGTGTGGATTCTGCACGTCTCAGTCGAACTGGGTCGTCAAGCCCAGTTTGCCTTGCGTAAAGAAAACTTAACATTGTTTTAGAGACATTGGACTTGTGTTTCGTTTATTCATGTGTATGTTGATGACTCTCGTCAGAGTGAAATAACTATAGCAGAGGTCTGTTTACAGCCTTTAACCCAAACATTTAAGTGGTGACTGTTCAGCCCGTAAAACCGCGTTTTTAAACTAAACAAATTCATCCTGCACAACACACTAAACGTATAAGCTCTATTTCAGTTTTTACAAATGATTGTTGTGCACTTTGTTGTGTAGAAAGCAGCCATGTTTTGACGTGCCTACAACGCGAACTGTGATTCGTCCAAGCAGAACCGAGAACCAATCATATGACAACATTAATGCTGCGTGAATGTTATTCGCAAACAAATGCAGTGAACGTGTTTGCATGTGCAGTACAAGCGCATATTTTGACATCTCACATATAAATCACAGAGATGAGCCGCATTGCTTCTTTGTTGCGAAGAACATTTGGCGTGGTAAAAGAGCACGTTGGCACAGATCTTTCTGGAAACAAATATTACAACATACCCCAGCAGAAGACATGGACGGGTAGGTCATACATAGGACTTTGACGAGTAACGTTAATCTTGCCCTGTTTGTACAGTAAATCTAGTAGCAAACGATATAAAACAAGTTTCAGGTTTCAAGTATTAGGACGGTTTTCCTGGTACGAGACCTTAACACTCTTTTAGTAGTACCTCAGCATAAAATAAATGGTTTAAAATAAGTTAATAGTTATAAATAGCTGTGAACTTTCAGAATGTTTCCTGGTGGTAAAAAATACATTAAATAGTTCATATTTTAATAGTAACAGTTATGTACAGCAGTTTTTCTCCCAATCACTTTTCAGACAATCTTTTTATTTAATTTTTGGCCATTGCTCAAAAGACTGCTAGAAAGATTAATCACAAATTCTAAACCTGTGACCTAAAAATTGTTGACAGTAACATAATCTGTTAGATTGGTCATTTTAGGTTATGTACTGTGGCTAGTTTTAGATTACCTTTGGCATAAGGTATTTGTAACACAAAGTGCCTGGTTGAAAAAATTACTCTTTAGATCAAGGGTGCCCAAACTTTTTCTTATGAAGGTAAAAAAAAACAAGCTTGGTTGAGGCTAGTGGTCTGAAAATAAATATAGTTATGTTTTCCTAACTTTATATTAATAAAATATAAATTTATATATAAATTATAGGATGATTTTCTAACTTATTAATAATATTTTAAAATAACAAGAGAACATTTCTTTATGTTAACTAACACAGCAATTTCTTCACATTTTAAAATGAAGTTATTGCAGTAAAAAAAATCTTATTTATGACAGAATGGAGTTAAACTAGTTTTTGCTGTGCTTTGCTCACTGATGTCTACCTGTTAATTGACATTATTTGCATTTAAAAAAACAAATCAGATTTATTTACATTTAATTGAAACCTTTCATTTCAGTTTGCTTTTTTGTAGCTCAGCAATAAAACAAACAAACAAGCAAAAATTGGTTATGTCAAATTAGAAATGATGATCATTTCAAAGGCATTTGCCCCCACTATCTGCATCCTTCTCACTCTCTTCTCAGATGTGATGGTGGGGCAAATCAAAGGTTACAATGGGCCAACTATGGTTCGCGGGCCCTAGTTTGGGCATCTCTGGTTTAGATGCTTAATAGATACTTTTAAAAATAAAAAAAATGATTGCAGTGAATAATATCTTTCTGACTTGTTATACACTTTTAGGATATTTTTTCAGCAATATTTTTCATTTTGTGATTAATTTGTAAAATTATTACACTTAAAAGTTATAAATTTTTGGAATCAAATTGAATCTGATTAAGTAATCTAGATAATATGTTACCCCTTATTACCCAGTAATGGTTAAAGATGTCCTATTTTTGTTGCTAGTTTCAATAAACCTGATGTATTAGTCATCTTTATTCTTGCTTGTCTTTTTCAGGGCGAGTCGTTCGGCCCAGACGTCTTGTTGAAGTAGCCAATCCAAAAGAGTTTGAGTACATGGAAGGAAGCATACCATCAGAATGGGATGGTAATAGATATTGCATTTATAATACGGAGTGTAAACCAAACAATCTATGTTTATGACAATATAAATTTAATTAACACATTTTTCTTTATTTACTATCTTACCTAAAACTCTGTTGTCATTACTAGATATCTTGTTATAAAATGATAAGTTCCCTGTTTTTCCTTTTATTTCTTATAGCTTGGATCAGAGGCAGGCGGAAGCAACCACCTACTATTGAGGTATTCATCAACACCATCATCACTTTTTTATTGCAAACTCCTAGGTCCATATCCACAAAAGTAAACAAAATAAAAAAACAGTACAATCATAAATCTACACTACCTGATTAAAGTCTTGTCATCAATTGCAGTTGTAAGAGCAACAAAAAATAACTTGACTTCTAGTTGATCATTTGGAAAAGTGGCAGAAGGTGGAGTTTTCTATTGAATCATCTGTTGAACTGCATCCCAATCATTACAAATACTGCAGAAAACATACCGGAACCTGCAAGGACCCAAAATTCTTACAGAAATCAGTCAAGTGTGTTAAAGGAAAAATCATGGTTTTGGGTTACATTCAGTGTGGGGGAGATCTGCAGAGTGGATGGCAACATCAGCAGCCTGAGGTATCAAGACATTTATGCTGCCCATTTCTTTACAAACCACAATGGGGGAAATTCTTCAGCAGGATAGTGCTTCTTCTCATGCGTCAGCCTCCACATCAAAGTTCCTGAAAGCAAAGAAGGTCAAGGTGCTCTTGTATTGGCCAGCCCAGTCACCAGATTAGAAAATTATTGAGCATGTCTAGGGTAAGATGAAGGAGAAGCCAAATTGTTTAAAGATGAATCCAAAGAATCTTGATGAACTCTGGGAGTCCTGTAAGAACACTTTCTTTGCCGTTCCAGATGACTTTATTAAGAGGTTATGTGAGTCATTGCAGAAATGTATGGATGCAGTCCTCCAAGCACATGGGAGTCAGACACAATCTTAATTCTTTTTCCACTGCACCATGACTTTATATTCTATACTGTACATTACTTCTGTTAGGTAACAAGACTGTTGTTTAAGCAAAGTCAGACCTTACTGTCCTAATTAAATAATTTGAAATCAAGGCATGATCACATTTTATTTACGTAAAATGATCACATTTTATTTAGGTAAAATAGGCATAATCTAGAGGCCTTTACCTTACATATAAGCCACTTCTGATACCAAATGATCAACTAGAAGTCAAGTTATTATTTGTTGTTTCTAAAACTTGGATGGGCAACTAGACTTTTGTCAGGTACGTACATACATCAACACTATATTTTCAAAAACAACAAGCATACATTCCATCGCTTTCAATACCAGAAGTAGTAATTATAATCACTTAATATATGATTTCTCTGATTATATCAAGAGAACTTCTAGGTCAATAATCAATTCTCAACTAAATACACATTGAACTAATTATGTAATGAATGTGTCATTGTATTGAAAGGGATAGTTCAGCCAAAAATTTATATTTAGTCATCATTCTGTCAGTCTTTACTTTTTCCATACCAGTTTGAGTTTTTTAGTTTTGTTTGTTTTGCACAAAAGAAGATATCTTAAAGAAAGCTGAAAACATTTAACCATTGACTTCCAAAGTATTTGTTTTGCCTACTGTAAAAGTGATGGGTTACAGCAACTATCCAACATTGCTCAATATATTTTGTTCAACAAAACAAGGGTGACGCGGTGGCGCAGTATGTAGTGCTATCGCCTCACAGCAAGAAAGTTGCTGGTTCGAGCTTCGGCTAGGTCAGTTGGCTTTTCTGTGTGGAGTTTGCATGTTCTCCCTGCGTTCGTGTGGGTTTAATCCGGGTGCTCCAGTTTCCCCCACAGTCCAAATACATGCGATGCAAGTGAATTGGGTAGGCTAAATTGTCCGTATTATACGAGCGTGTATGGATGTTTCTCAGAGATGGGTTGCAGCTGGAAGGGCATCCGCTGTGAAAAACATTTGCTGGATAAGTTGTGCTGACCCCAGATTAATAAAGGGACTAAGCCGAAAAGAAAATGAATGAATGAATCAACAAAACAAAAAAGACCTCAAACTGGTATGGAACAAGTAGAGTAAGTAAATGATGACTGAATTTTCTTTTTTAGGGGAACTATCCCTTTCAGTGCCGTAATTAACATGTATGTTGCTCTCTATAGGAGTTGCTAAAGAACAAACACGGCAGGGAGCAGATAAAAATAAAAGCTGCAGAGGTTGAGGAAATGGACAAAGCTCTGCAAGTAAAAGAGTATGAAGACGGTTTGGTGGCTGAGTCTGTTCAGACTCAGATCAAAGGTCACGCTTCAGCCGCACAGTTTGGAAAGACTGAATTTAGCGAAGAACCAGTGAGCACTGCCAACGCATTCCAGCCAGGGTCCTGGACGCCAGCAGGAACCAAAAAATAGGCCTGTTTGAATCATCTTTTCTTTTCTTCAAGTAAATTTGCAGTTAAAATGAATTGATATAATTGCATTTCAACACTTACTGTGTATATAAATATTCAGTACTGGTTTCTGAAGGCAAACAAGGAACAGCGCTTGAGGTGATTAGTTTAGGTCTTTTTTTTTTGTGTGTTAAAGTGTTTAATTCTGGATGTATGCTGAAAACGTTGTAGGTTTGTTTAGGTAGAGACTAATGTAAACCATGACAGAGATGCAGATTTCCTTTTGCACTTTATTTGTAAATCAGGTGAATAAAATGTGCAGACAAGGTTAATCTCAAGTTCTTTTGTGTTATTAAAATATTGCTTATGCATCTTCACTTAAAATACTAATGCCTCTGATTTAAGTCACTTTCGTTTATTTCAACTGTAAAAAAACAGTTGGTTGTGCTTTTATGATTGTAATTAAGTGGTATTTGTTATTGTTAATTTATGATGCCACTTTATTATCACAATCATAAACAGATTTTTACAATGTTTCATTTTCCTAAATTACATGTCTTGTATATGATCTAAACATGACCTATTCTTGAAATTAAAACTATTAATATTGTTGTATCATAGAATATTGAAGCCAACATTTCAAATGATATTTGGAATTATTTCAAATTTTGTCATCTACCGATAAGTCTTTCTATGTAGACAATGTTTTCCATAACCTGAATTCATGCTTCCTCATTAAGACAAGCCACTCAGATGTGAATCCAGCAGTTGACAGGAAGTGAAATGACCATTGTTCATTCATTCATTCATTCATTCATTCATTTATTTATTCTCCTTCGACTTGTCTTTTTATTCATCAGGTAATCCACAGCGGAATGAACCGCCAACTTATTCAGCATATGTTTCCAGAGTGGATGCCTTTCCAGCTGCAACCCAGTACTGGGAAACATCCATACACACTCATTTACACACATAAACTTCGGCCAAATTGGTTTATTCAATTCACCTATAGCGCATGTCTTTGGACTGTGGGGAAAACCGGAGGAAACCCACATGAACACAGGGAGAACATGCAAACTTTTCACAGAAATGGTAACTGACTCAGCTGGGGCTTGAACCAGTGACATTCTTGCTGTGAGGCGACAGTGCTAACCATTAAGCCACCGTGTCACCCCACCATTCATCATCTAGTTTCTAACGTGATGCTACCTTCCTGCGTTCAAAAATACCATAAGGAATATGAATAGATTTGAACAAAAATTAAACCATCAACTTCACAAATAATCGAAAGTCTCACAACTGCCTCTTCCTAACCAAGCCAGCAAAACAAAACACATTAGACAGTTTAATCTTTATTAAAAAAAACTATCCTGTACTATAACAAAACTTCCTGTTTTAGCCTGGGAAACGGCTGCTTCAAAGCATTGGTTTATTGAAATATCTATTTGGATTTGTTTAGGTGTTTCACCATTTTTATTTGCTTACTTTCTAGATATTTTAGCAACAATAATGAAAGGCTGCACTAATCCTTTTTTATATTGCCTCTGTAGTTTACATTTTAGTTGTTAATATTCTACAATTATTTGTTCACTAAAAGGTTGCGCTAAAAGCTACCTCAATTTTCTAATGTAGGTTTTAATAATTATGCATTATAAATGTTCATTACATTTTACTCATTTATGCATATTACTGTGATTAAATCTATTATATTGGCCAGCTTGATTTCTCAATATTGGCATCAGCCATTAAAAATCCTTTACAGGTCAGCCACTGTCAGACTCAAATTGTCATATTGAGTTTTTAAAAAAATCACCAATAACAGAGGCGCATTGTTTAGTTTATGTTTGAAAAGTTGGTTTATATATTTGTGTGTGTCTATGTGTATATAGTACTGCACAGTTTAATTCCAACCCTGCTCCAACACACTTACTTGTAGGTTTCAAACAAGCCTGAAGGACTCAATTGGTTTGATCAGGTGTGTTTAATTATCGTTGGAACTGTGCAGAGCTGCGGCCCTTTTGGAACTGAGTTTGACACCTGTGGTTTAGAGCATAAAGATCTTTCTCTCTATATGCACAGTGGTGAAAGCGGTAAATCTTGACTCAGTGTTGCTAGAACAGCAAACAAGAACAATTTCATATGCTAAACCCAAACTCTTATCTCAGAAATAAGACATACTGAAATATTGTGGATATGGCAACACTTCACTAAAGTAGTCTTCCTAACATAAAGCACATCTACTGATGGTGTTAGTGCAGCATGACTAATTGAAAAAAGATTACGATCTCGATTCGACCCTACAAATGATCTTAATTCTGCTTTTCTATGATTCAGCCAATTATATTTTTAAGATGAGGAGAGAAGCGTAAAGGCGGTCAAACAAGTCTTCACGTCGTTTATATACGTCGTTCATTAACATGGACACCTCTAGAGTTAAAAGTGTCCCATACTGTATTTATAAGGTTTGACTTTCTTTTATAGCTATCACAAAGTGTCGTGCATGAAAATGAATGTTTAATGGGTCAGTATAACTACTCTAGCCTATATAGTGTTGAATAGAATGCATGAGGGAATCTGATTATGACAAATGTCTCATTTTACCAGTGAATAAATGGTCTAATAATGTTGTCAATGACAAGCATATGTCTCAAACATAACAATCCAACTTCAGAATTATGAACAGCTGTATTCTGATGTCCTCACTTTACTGTGAATCAACAACCAGGACAAATTTAAAGCCTGTTCAAGTCCACCATTCATAGTCTATACAAAATCATATTAACCAACAGTAGACCTACTCATAGGCTAGGCATGGGGCTGTATAAGATTGTGACAGTATGATAACCTTGGATAAAAATATTACGGTTTCACAATATCATGATATTTTGATTACTGCTAAACATTTCAGGCTGGAATAATTCAAATGAATCACTGACTTCTGCTGTCTTCATTTATTTCAAAAACACAGATTTCTTTACAATTTAAAACTTATTTGGATCTTTTTTTCTGCTGGAGATACTATTGTCCTAAAAAAAAATGTTAAAAAAAAATGTTAAAAAAAAATTATAATCTACACATACCTTAGGAAAGGTATTACAGAAATTTTTTGCTGTTTTAAAACGTTGACTTTTCCAATTCTAGGTATACTTTGAAAACAGTTATCGTCCCATGCCTAACATAGGCCTTATATCATTATTATTGTTTTACCACAATTGAAAAAAAAAAGAATAAGATGAATAGCCTACTCATATTAGCTTTTATTTTACATCTGCAGAATCATGATCTTGATTTTAAGCAAAAAAAAAAAATTGTGATTCTCAATTTAGCCAGAATCGTTCAGAGTCATTAAAAATACCCACCATAATAAGTCTTTGGTCATTGTAGTATTATTAGGTAATATGTGCAAAAAGCTAAACACAGCTTCAATCATCATGGTGTTTGTCATCGCAATTTGCTTATTTGGAAGTAAATCATGATCTGTGCACATTATATTCTTCAATTTACGCAGCCAATCCTGTATTTAAATGCAGTTGTCACTCTTGAAACTTTACAAATCTGAAATAAGGTACTTAAGAAATCAAATGAAAAATCAACACAATTTTGCGTTAAGAATGTTCTTTATTATTATAAAAAACTTCATTGTAATGTAGTTATGGATTCATCTTGAAAACAACCACCAACCCAGTAAAAAAAATGGAATGCAGAGTACTGCACAATAGTGTATAGCACAACAGCGCAGTGCATTTCCCACTGTACTAGTATTATCCTGGAAAAGTATACTGCAGTCCTGCCTTTAAGATTGATCAATCAATCAATCAACCCCCTGATTATATGATTCCTCTAAGGCTTTAACTGAGGTCTCCTTCAAGCCCAGACTTGCTCCAGGTCCCATAATACGTGTCCTGGGTTAAGAAACGAGCCATATATATCAGGGAACTGGACGATGATATTGACCCTTCTCCATCTCACGCTCAGTCCTTCTTGGCTCTCTTGGCTTTGGCGATGTTCTCCTGTCTTTTTTGCTTTTTCTTCTGCTCGCGGTCCTTGGCTTCGATCATCTTGGCGAGCTTCCATGACAAAAGGGCACTGGCGATAAACAGAGGGGTTAAAGCTAGGATGACTGTGGTGAGGAAGCCGTAGGGGTCTTTAGCTGCCCACTCCACCACATATTCTGCCCATGCCTTTATGTCAATCATCCTATCTGGACTCAAGAGTTCAGCAGAAGACCCTAGGAGGAAAGGATGTGTGTGAAATTAGTAGACATTTGAATGTACAGTTGAAACCTAAGTTTACATACACTCTAAAAAAAAAAAGGAACAACCATTTTTTTAAAATGTCAGATGGTAAATCTAAACGTTTACTTACTATTTTAGGTCCGTTAGGATTAACTAAATGATTACATTTGCTAAATGCCAGAATAATGAAAGAATTTCTTTAGAGAATTTTTATTAGTTATTTGACAGTCAAAAATGTACATACATTTCCTTGGTATTTTTTTTAGCTTTGCTTTTAAACTGTATAACTTTGGTCAAATGTTTTGGGTATCCTTTCACAAGCTTCTCACAATAGTTAGGAGGAATTTTGGCTCATTCCTCCTGACAGAATTGGTGTAACTGAGTCAGATTTGTTGTCTGTCTTGCTCGCAAAAGCTTTTACAACTCTACCCACAAATTTTCTATAGGATTGAGATCAGGGCTTTGTGATGGCCACTCCTAAACATTGACTCTGTTATCCTTAAAGCACATTTTAACTAATTTGGCAGTATGCTTACTGTCATGGTCTGCTTGGAAAACCCATTTGTAGCCAAGTTTTAATTTCCTGGCTGATGTCTTGAGATGTTGCTTCAGTATTTCTACATAATGTTCTTTCTTCATGATGCCATCTATGCTGTGAAGTGGACCAGTCCCTCCTGCAGCAAAACCGTCCCACAACATGATGCTCCTGCCCCCTTACTTCATAGTTGGGATGGTGTTCCCTCCTAGGCTTGTAAGCTTTCCCCTTTGTCCATCTGACTTTTTTAAAATGGTTATGTGCCTTTTTATACAGTGTATGTAAACTTCTGGTTTCAACTGTATTTTATATATCATATACATTATTATTACAATATTTACAAATATGTGCATTTTTAGTTTGGTGTAATCTCATCTTAAAATGAACAGAGAGGTGGGACACATATTATGTCCTCCCATTTGAAAAAAAACAGCCTATAGCATTTTGTTTTGTCACAGCACGGCCAGCAAGAGTGGTTGAGATGAAGCGCATACAGATATTGAATCCCCAAGGTTACTTAATGTCTTATGAAGAATTTTTATCACATTTTAATTTAATTGTATCCTTTGTAATACTTTGCTGCTTAAGTATTCCCATGTATTGTCTGACTATGTAAAAGTTACTCATATTCAGAAAATATCTCTTTGTTACACCCCAAAGATAAACAATGTGGGAAAATAGGTTTTTCTTCTCACTAAAATAAGGCCATATGTTCCTTATTTCAGTCACTCATAGTCAAAAAACCCTATATAATCTCTTATTGGTCTGGGGTCCTCAGAGGTTTGGTCATTGCTTAACACATTTTTTATTACAAACAAATTTAAAGAGGTCTTGTTTAAAACTCTGCATACATTTTACCGTCAAACATTTTCTTTTCAAGTTTCCAAAACTGTTCATTTTGTTTGTCACGGCCAGTTTGTCAATTCTCAAAGAAAATATGGTGTGAGATCTCTAAATTCATAAACGACAAATTATTGCCAAGTTTCAGTTTAGAATACCTACATGTTATTTTGGATTTTTGAACTGTAACAAAAAATAGAGAAGGAAGCTTATGTTATTAATCTTTTGATAATATTTACAAAGTACCATATTCACAGATACAATTTTAATAACCAAAAATCATTTAATCCTGCTATTGTATTAGAATACAAACATTATACAAACAACAAAAAGCAAAGCACTAATAAAAAAGAATTAAAACCTTTTTTTTTTACCTAAAACCTTAAAGATCCTGTAATTCCCCAAGGCCCTTACCTATTTATAGTATGTATACTTACACATATATTTGTTTGTCTTATTTATATTTAGTTTTTTGTACACCCCTGATATTTTTTTCTTTTCTTTTTTTCTTTCTTTTTTGTAATGTTCTGTACTTTGTTCTTTAGGCTTTAAGAAAAAAAGATTAAAAAAAGAGATGAAGTGCATCAAATAAAAATCAAATGAGAAGCGTCTTGAAGGGGGCGGGACATGTCAGATACTAGAAAGCATTTGATTGATCAAGATTTGATGCGAAA